CTATTCTCAGCGGAGTCAGAGATGCTTCGACACATTTGATGAAAATTCGTGGAGCTATTGACAGCCCAAACGGAACTGTCACAAACTCGTAGGCTGTGTCCTGATAGGCAAACCTGAGGAATTTTCTGTGTGTCGGGTAGATGCTTATGTGAAAATATGCATCCTTTAGATCTACGGACGTATGTCAGTCTTTGGGACGAATAATGGCTGATGATGCTTTTAACATTAACATTTTGAACTTGTACTTTCTGAGGTGTTTGTTGAGGTTCCGTAAATCCAGAATGGGTTGGAGACCTCCCCCTTTCTTGGGAATGACAAAGTACCGGGAGTAAAACACATGATGGCTGTCCTCTGGTGGCACAACTTGAATTGCTCTTATTCTCAATAAAGAGGATATTTTTTCCTCCAAAATCTGAGCTGACTCCCCATCTGACAAACTGCAGACGATAACCCCGTTTTATTGTGGATAAAATCCAAGGGTGTACTGCGCATTCGCGCCAAATCTCCGTGTGAGCAGAGAGCGGACTGCTGTAGCTCTCGATCACTGATGGCACGGCGGCACCATCTAGCAGCGGAGCTAGGGGTTGCAGCTCTGATTTGGATGTTTTTGTCTGTATTTTTGTTTATTTTCAGACATTTCTGTGCCCTTGGCCTGCTGCCTGGATGCACAGGGAATAGTTTTATTTGTTTCACACACTTTTTGCTTTCCCAAACCTCCTCCTCTCTATTGCATAATCTCGCGGGCGGAGAGGGGAGTAACAACATGGGGGCACTGGGTGAACTGGTGCCAACACTCCTATCTGAGAACAGTTTTTTTCTGAACACTGAACTTGAATCAAACCCTGACACTTCTTTGCTGGAGTGGAAGAACAAGACTCTTGTGTTATAGAGAGGGGTGCTACAAAGACTCCGTGAGTGCTGTAACCCCTCTTTTGACTCTGAAAATGGCCACAGGCCTCTTCTTTCCCCCTTGAGGGTGAGCTGGTCGATGTTTAGCCGCTGTAGCCGCAAATGAGGCCTTACCTCTCGGCTGGGGCTGTCTTGGGTTCACCTCCACCTGTGTTGACTGCTGGGGTGGGGGGGGCCTTGGGTTTCTGAACCCCGACTGACCCCCTCTGGAGGCAGTAGGAAAACCTGGGCGAGAGGGCTGTGGGGGTCGAACCGTGGACTTCCTGGGGAGGAGAGCTTCAAAGGCCTCCCCATCTTTTTTGCGAAGGTCACACTGCTGCCGCATATTTGTCACAGAAGCCCCAAAAAGGGCTTTTGGCTCCACTGGAGCATCAAGAAACTCAGTCTTCTCCCTGTCTGACAGGCCTGAGAGTCCTAGCCACAGAACCCTTTCACCCGCTACAGCCAAGCCCATGCTGCGGGAAAAGAGAGTAGTGCGGGCGGCACTCGGGATTGGCGAGCACGGCCTGTGCATGTCTAACTCCCAGACACGTGATGCACAGAGGGTGAGAGTCTTTGGATGAAATCATCGACCCACAAGCACACGGGCGAGAGGGATCTTTACTCTTCGCTGCTCTGCTGGATGGGATCGCAATCGCCATAACAGAGATGCGAACACTAGATATTCCACTCCACTTGAAGTGGGGAGAAGGAAAAATTAGAAAAATGAGCTGAAATGGCTCAAATAGACAAAAGATGGGAACCCAAACTTTGACTGCAAATATTCCCTCGTAAGAAAGGAATTACCGCGTTCGGAGACATACCTAAAAAAAACGGCTTGTCAATGAACTGTTAAGCGGCCATTCCCTACGAGGATCTGCTGAGGATAGCTTCCTTAAGGATCTTCACGGGGAAGAAAACGAGAATGAAGTGGGGATCGCTGGCAGCGATATATATATATATATATATATATGTACAGTGGGGCAAAAAAGTATTTAGTCAGCCACCAATTGTGCAAGTTCTCCCACTTAAAAAGATGAGAGAGGCCTGTAATTTTCATCATAGGTATACCTCAACTATGAGAGACAAAATGAGAAAAAAAATCCAGAAAATCACATTGTATGATTTTTAAAGAATTAATTGGTAAATTCCTGTAGGAGATCTACTTAAAAAATTAAGAATACATTTTTTTAAATGGACAAATGAATAAAAAAACATTTTAAATTGACAACTCAATAAATATTTAAAATATAAATTATTTGAAAAGTTTTTAAAACAAAAATATGACTAAATATTTGAAATGTGTGGAAATGATAAAAAATAAACGAATTATTTTAAATACACGTTTTGCTAAAATGTTGATTTTTAGTATAGAAAAATACCAAAAACCCCTTTGCATCCATATAGCAACATTCTTTTTATTTTTTTGTATGGTCAAATACTCACATTTCCTTTAAAAAAAAAAAATCTGAAAATTATAATAGTCCAGTTACACGTTTACATTTCGATATAATTTTGCATAATTTTCAAAACAACCAGTGTTTGTACTCATGGTAGACTGCCATGGTGTAGTTTAACAAAAGACGTTTTCTGAGTCAAACAGGAGGAGTCATTAACTGGCTTATCTGCATTTCCCCCGAGTCAACTTGTGACCAGACACAAAGACCTCTGACCTCTGGACCGGGCTGAGAGCCAAGCGCACCCCTCACACAGATGTGTGCATTGTCCGTCGAGCAGCGGTGCATCGTGCTCACTTCAGCTAATGACGTGAGTGTGAGTGTGTGTGGGTGTGCATTCACAGTTTACACACATTACTGTAGATTTCAGCCCTTCACGTTCTCAAAAACACACTTTACTGGAGCAGACATACTGTAAGTGCCACTGCCTATTCTTTCTGTAGTTTATAAGACTGACTGACAGACGGATCTGGAGTTTGTCATTTGTTACGACAGTCAAATGTGACCCGTGATTGTGTGCAATAGAGCAAGACAGCGGACGGTGGAGTGAGTTATGTGTTTATATCCTGTTCTGCTGAGCAAAGGTCACCTTTCAAGACAGCGGTGCTGCTTTGTGTTTGATTTGTAGTCTAGCACTTTCTAAGATGCATATGTGTTCATAACCTTTTTTTTTTTTTTTTTTTTTACTTGAGAATCATGTTTAGATGGTTTAGAAGAGAAGTAACAGGCTTTCTCATATGTAAAACTTTAAATATGCACATTTTCTTTTCCAATAGATTGCAATATCTACAAACAAACTGCAATTCCCAGAGATGCAGTGGTGCAGGTGGGCAGGCGACTGGACGTCTCGCCTCCAGACGCAGGTAGACAGGGGTGTGTCTGTTTGTATTTGACTCTGTGTTTCACAGAAAACAAAGGACATGGCAGAAAAAAAATTAGTCAATGTTGAGTTAATGCTGTGTGACAAGGTCAGCTCACTTTGTATGGGCAGTATGGTGGTTTCTTAATATGTGATTTTTAGTGCTAGCTTACAGAGAAGGCCTGTCTTCAGAGAACTGATTGCAGATATGGTGAAAATTGCACTGAAGCTGTGACTTTTGCGCCCTGAATGAATCGTTTCGGGGTCTGTGGGTCACGATTTGTGAGTATTTATTGCAGAAATGCAGTCCACAGGGCAGGAGGATGAAGATCGCTGTGACTTTCTGTTCAAGATCATCCTGATTGGCGACAGTAATGTGGGAAAGACCTGCGTGATCCACAGCTTCAAGTCTGGGCTCTTCAGTGACAGCCAGCACAACACTATTGGAGTGGACTTCACCGTTCGCACAATAGACATCAATGGCAAGAGAGTGAAGGTGAGCTCACATATTTATGACTTATAGTAAAAAATATATATAAAAAAAAGGCTTTTTAGAGTTTCAGGCCCTTAAATTCAGTAAAGAACTCTTCTTATAAAGGCTGTATAGGATTGTATGCATATATATATATATATAGTATATACTGTATATATTAGTAATTAAGGTGTTATAAAAAAAATTGTTTAGTTTTCTTATAGGAGAAATAGTTAATAATAATAATATATATTTCTTAAAGATATACAATCATTATTATTAAATAAAAATGTATTATAATATATAAAATATATTTAATTTATATATGTATATACAGTATACACTGCCGTTCAAAAGTTTGGGATCAGTAAGATTTTTTATGTTTTTTAATGGAGTCTCTTGTGCTCACCAAGGCTGTATTTATTTGATCAAAAATACAGAAAAAAATGTAATATTGTGAGATATTATTTCAGTTCCTAATATTGGTTTTCTATTTGAATATATTTTAAAATGTAATTTATTCCTGTGATCAAAGCTGAATTCTCAGCATCATTACTCCAGTCTTCAGTGTCACATGATCCTTCAGAAATCATTCTGATATGCTGATTTATTATCAGTGTTAAAACTGTTGTGCTGCTTCATATGCAGGTTTTTTGGAAACTGTTATACTTTTTTTTTTATTCTTTTATGAATAAAAAGTTAAAAAGAACAGCATTTATTTAAAATTAAAATATTTTCTAACAATATGAGTCTTTACTATTACTTTTTATCCGTTTAACACATCCTTGCTGAATAAAAGTATTCATTACATTCAAAATAAGAAAAAAATTGACTGACTCCAAACTTTTTAACGATAGAGTATATTGTAACACAAGATTTCCATTTTGAATAAATGCTGTTTTTATATTTTTATTTTATATTCATAAAAGAATCCTGAAAAAAGTATCACAGTGTAAGAATTACAGAACCTCAGACACTTTGATCTTCTGAGACAGACAATACACACACAGTGCATTAACATACAGACATCTGTTTCCACATCTCACTGAGAGAAAATGCACGAAAACGTCTCTCACATATGCATCAGTTCCGAAACGCAGATACTTTGATCTCCTGAGAAACAGACAATACAAACTTACACTGCATTTCCCCCGAGTCAACTTGTGACCAGACACAAAGACCTCTGACCTCTGGACCGGGCTGAGAGCCAAGCGCACCCCTCACACAGATGTGTGCATTGTCCGTCGAGCAGCGGTGCATCGTGCTCACTTCAGCTAATGACGTGAGTGTGAGTGTGTGTGGGTGTGCATTCACAGTTTACACACATTACTGTAGATTTCAGCCCTTCACGTTCTCAAAAACACACTTTACTGGAGCAGACATACTGTAAGTGCCACTGCCTATTCTTTCTGTAGTTTATAAGACTGACTGACAGACGGATCTGGAGTTTGTCTCATTTGTTACGACAGTCAAATGTGACCCGTGATTGTGTGCAATAGAGCAAGACAGCGGACGGTGGAGTGAGTTATGTGTTTATATCCTGTTCTGCTGAGCAAAGGTCACCTTTCAAGACAGCGGTGCTGCTTTGTGTTTGATTTGTAGTCTAGCACTTTCTAAGATGCATATGTGTTCATAACCTTTTTTTTTTTTTTTTTTTTTACTTGAGAATCATGTTTAGATGGTTTAGAAGAGAAGTAACAGGCTTTCTCATATGTAAAACTTTAAATATGCACATTTTCTTTTCCAATAGATTGCAATATCTACAAACAAACTGCAATTCCCAGAGATGCAGTGGTGCAGGTGGGCAGGCGACTGGACGTCTCGCCTCCAGACGCAGGTAGACAGGGGTGTGTCTGTTTGTATTTGACTCTGTGTTTCACAGAAAACAAAGGACATGGCAGAAAAAAAATTAGTCAATGTTGAGTTAATGCTGTGTGACAAGGTCAGCTCACTTTGTATGGGCAGTATGGTGGTTTCTTAATATGTGATTTTTAGTGCTAGCTTACAGAGAAGGCCTGTCTTCAGAGAACTGATTGCAGATATGGTGAAAATTGCACTGAAGCTGTGACTTTTGCGCCCTGAATGAATCGTTTCGGGGTCTGTGGGTCACGATTTGTGAGTATTTATTGCAGAAATGCAGTCCACAGGGCAGGAGGATGAAGATCGCTGTGACTTTCTGTTCAAGATCATCCTGATTGGCGACAGTAATGTGGGAAAGACCTGCGTGATCCACAGCTTCAAGTCTGGGCTCTTCAGTGACAGCCAGCACAACACTATTGGAGTGGACTTCACCGTTCGCACAATAGACATCAATGGCAAGAGAGTGAAGGTGAGCTCACATATTTATGACTTATAGTAAAAAATATATATAAAAAAAAGGCTTTTTAGAGTTTCAGGCCCTTAAATTCAGTAAAGAACTCTTCTTATAAAGGCTGTATAGGATTGTATGCATATATATATATATATAGTATATACTGTATATATTAGTAATTAAGGTGTTATAAAAAAAATTGTTTAGTTTTCTTATAGGAGAAATAGTTAATAATAATAATATATATTTCTTAAAGATATACAATCATTATTATTAAATAAAAATGTATTATAATATATAAAATATATTTAATTTATATATGTATATACAGTATACACTGCCGTTCAAAAGTTTGGGATCAGTAAGATTTTTTATGTTTTTTAATGGAGTCTCTTGTGCTCACCAAGGCTGTATTTATTTGATCAAAAATACAGAAAAAAATGTAATATTGTGAGATATTATTTCAGTTCCTAATATTGGTTTTCTATTTGAATATATTTTAAAATGTAATTTATTCCTGTGATCAAAGCTGAATTCTCAGCATCATTACTCCAGTCTTCAGTGTCACATGATCCTTCAGAAATCATTCTGATATGCTGATTTATTATCAGTGTTAAAACTGTTGTGCTGCTTCATATGCAGGTTTTTTGGAAACTGTTATACTTTTTTTTTTATTCTTTTATGAATAAAAAGTTAAAAAGAACAGCATTTATTTAAAATTAAAATATTTTCTAACAATATGAGTCTTTACTATTACTTTTTATCCGTTTAACACATCCTTGCTGAATAAAAGTATTCATTACATTCAAAATAAGAAAAAAATTGACTGACTCCAAACTTTTTAACGATAGAGTATATTGTAACACAAGATTTCCATTTTGAATAAATGCTGTTTTTATATTTTTATTTTATATTCATAAAAGAATCCTGAAAAAAGTATCACAGTGTAAGAATTACAGAACCTCAGACACTTTGATCTTCTGAGACAGACAATACACACACAGTGCATTAACATACAGACATCTGTTTCCACATCTCACTGAGAGAAAATGCACGAAAACGTCTCTCACATATGCATCAGTTCCGAAAAGCAGATACTTTGATCTCCTGAGAAACAGACAATACAAACTTACACAGGCATCTTGAAGAAACCCCACAGAGTGGCGGTGCAGGAATCGTCTCTCTCACATATGCATCAGTTCCTTTTCATCTCCTCCCTCCACTTGATTCACTCAGAATGGTCAATAGTATAATGTTCTATATGAATGCAAATAAGATTTACAGTCATGTTTGGTTTCATTTGAATAGTCTCAGGGTGAGTGGTACAATGGTCTTAATCTTACAAAAGTAGACTAAAAGATAATACAGATCCTAAGAGATCTCACTGAGAGAAAATGCACGAAAACGTCTCTCACATATGCATCAGTTCCGAAACGCAGATACTTTGATCTCCTGAGAAACAGACAATACAAACTTACACGGGCATCTTGAAGAAACCCCACAGAGTGGCGGTGCAGGAATCGCCTCTCTCACATATGCATCAGTTCCTTTTCATCTCCTCCCTCCACTTGATTCACTCAGAATGGTCAATAGTATAATGTTCTATATGAATGCAAATAAGATTTACAGTCATGTTTGGTTTCATTTGAATAGTCTCAGGGTGAGTGGTACAATGGTCTTAATCTTACAAAAGTAGACTCTAGATCTTAGGTTAGATGAAGCATGGGTGAGATTAGAGGTTTCTGACTAACCGCTCGACCTTAGTTTAAGTTGTACTCAGTTACGTTAACTATGCATAGTGTTTCAGCTTTAATTAAGTTGTACGTAGTTATACTAACTATCGGGGGCTAGACAAGGGGTTGTAGCAGAACCGCTGATTAATGTTTTGAGCTTTAATTAAGTTGTACGTAGCTATTTTAACTATCGGGGGCTAGACAAGGGGTTCTAGCAGAACCGCTGATTAATGTTTTGAGCTTTAATTAAGTTGTACGTAGCTATTTTAACTATCGGGGGCTAGACAAGGGGTTCTAGCAGAACCGCTGATTAATGTTTTGAGCTTTAATTAAGTTGTACGTAGCTATTTTAACTATCGGGGGCTAGACAAGGGGTTCTAGCAGAACCGCTGATTAATGTTTTGAGCTTTAATTAAGTTGTACGTAGCTATTTTAACTATCGGGGGCTAGACAAGGGGTTCTAGCAGAACCGCTGATTAATGTTTTGAGCTTTAATTAAGTTGTACGTAGCTATTTTAACTATCGGGGGCTAGACAAGGGGTTCTAGCAGAACCGCTGATTAATGTTTTGAGCTTTAATTAAGTTGTACGTAGCTATTTTAACTATCGGGGGCTAGACAAGGGGTTCTAGCAGAACCGCTGATTAATGTTTTGAGCTTTAATTAAGTTGTACGTAGCTATTTTAACTATCGGGGGCTAGACAAGGGGTTCTAGCAGAACCGCTGATTAATGTTTTGAGCTTTAATTAAGTTGTACGTAGCTATTTTAACTATCGGGGGCTAGACAAGGGGTTCTAGCAGAACCGCTGATTAATGTTTTGAGCTTTAATTAAGTTGTACGTAGCTATTTTAACTATCGGGGGCTAGACAAGGGGTTCTAGCAGAACCGCTGATTAATGTTTTGAGCTTTAATTAAGTTGTACGTAGCTATTTTAACTATCGGGGGCTAGACAAGGGGTTCTAGCAGAACCGCTGATTAATGTTTTGAGCTTTAATTAAGTTGTACGTAGCTATTTTAACTATCGGGGGCTAGACAAGGGGTTCTAGCAGAACCGCTGATTAATGTTTTGAGCTTTAATTAAGTTGTACGTAGCTATTTTAACTATCGGGGGCTAGACAAGGGGTTCTAGCAGAACCGCTGATTAATGTTTTGAGCTTTAATTAAGTTGTACGTAGCTATTTTAACTATCGGGGGCTAGACAAGGGGTTCTAGCAGAACCGCTGATTAATGTTTTGAGCTTTAATTAAGTTGTACGTAGCTATTTTAACTATCGGGGGCTAGACAAGGGGTTCTAGCAGAACCGCTGATTAATGTTTTGAGCTTTAATTAAGTTGTACGTAGCTATTTTAACTATCGGGGGCTAGACAAGGGGTTCTAGCAGAACCGCTGATTAATGTTTTGAGCTTTAATTAAGTTGTACGTAGCTATTTTAACTATCGGGGGCTAGACAAGGGGTTCTAGCAGAACCGCTGATTAATGTTTTGAGCTTTAATTAAGTTGTACGTAGCTATTTTAACTATCGGGGGCTAGACAAGGGGTTCTAGCAGAACCGCTGATTAATGTTTTGAGCTTTAATTAAGTTGTACGTAGCTATTTTAACTATCGGGGGCTAGACAAGGGGTTCTAGCAGAACCGCTGATTAATGTTTTGAGCTTTAATTAAGTTGTACGTAGCTATTTTAACTATCGGGGGCTAGACAAGGGGTTCTAGCAGAACCGCTGATTAATGTTTTGAGCTTTAATTAAGTTGTACGTAGCTATTTTAACTATCGGGGGCTAGACAAGGGGTTCTAGCAGAACCGCTGATTAATGTTTTGAGCTTTAATTAAGTTGTACGTAGCTATTTTAACTATCGGGGGCTAGACAAGGGGTTCTAGCAGAACCGCTGATTAATGTTTTGAGCTTTAATTAAGTTGTACGTAGCTATTTTAACTATCGGGGGCTAGACAAGGGGTTCTAGCAGAACCGCTGATTAATGTTTTGAGCTTTAATTAAGTTGTACGTAGCTATTTTAACTATCGGGGGCTAGACAAGGGGTTCTAGCAGAACCGCTGATTAATGTTTTGAGCTTTAATTAAGTTGTACGTAGCTATTTTAACTATCGGGGGCTAGACAAGGGGTTCTAGCAGAACCGCTGATTAATGTTTTGAGCTTTAATTAAGTTGTACGTAGCTATTTTAACTATCGGGGGCTAGACAAGGGGTTCTAGCAGAACCGCTGATTAATGTTTTGAGCTTTAATTAAGTTGTACGTAGTTATACTAACTATCGGGTGCTAGACAAGGGGTTCTAGCAGAACTGCTGATTAATGTTTTGGGCTTTAAGTTGTACGTAGTTATATTAACTATCGGGTGCTAGACAAGGGGTTCTAGCAGAACCGCTGATTAATGTTTTGAGCTTTAATTAAGTTGTACGCAGTTATAATAAATATCGGGGGCTAGACGAGGAGTTCTAGCAGAACCGCTGAATAATGTTTTGGGCTTTAAGTTGTACGTAGTTATATTAACTATCGGGGGCTAGACAAGGGGTTCTAGCAGAACTGCTGATTAATGTTTTGGGCTTTAAGTTGTACGTAGTTATATTAACTATCGGGGGCTAGACAAGGGGTTCTAGCAGAACTGCTGATTAATGTTTTGGGCTTTAAGTTGTACGTAGTTATATTAACTAATGGGGGCTAGACGAGGGGTTCTAGCAGAACCGCTGATTAATGTTTTGGGGTTTAATTAAGTTGTACGCAGTTATATTAATTATCGGGGGCTAGACGAGGAGTTCTAGCAGAACCGCTGATTAATGTTTTGGGCTTTAATTAAGTTGCACGTAGTTATTAACTATCGGGCGCTAGACAAGGGGTTCTAGCAGAACCGCTGATTAATGTTTTGAGCTTTAATTAAGTTGCACGTAGTTATTAACTATCGGGCGCTAGACAAGGGGTTCTAGCAGAACCGCTGATTAATGTTTTGAGCTTTAATTAAGTTGCACGTAGTTATTAACTATCGGGCGCTAGACAAGGGGTTCTAGCAGAACCGCTGATTAATGTTTTGAGCTTTAATTAAGTTGCACGTAGTTATTAACTATCGGGCGCTAGACAAGGGGTTCTAGCAGAACCGCTGATTAATGTTTTGAGCTTTAATTAAGTTGCACGTAGTTATTAACTATCGGGGGCTAGACAAGGGGTTCTAGCAGAACCGCTGATTAATGTTTTGGGTTTTGATTAAGTTGTACGTAGTTATATTAACTATCGGGGGCTACACAAGGGGTTCTAGCAGAACCGCTGATTAATGTTTTGGGCTTTAATTAAGTTGTACGTAGTTATTAACTATCGGGGGCTAGACAAGGGGTTCTAGCAGAACCGCTGATTAATGTTTTGAGCATTACATGGGTAACTATACGGGGCTAAACAGATTAGTCATAAACCTCTGGCTAAGGATCAGACTGGGCGTGATCGTGGGGCCCACGCATAGCGGCCGCCGTGAGGTACCCTAAGCGACATAGATTCCTAATGAACGAGTAAATATAAAGTAAAGAGTTAACTAGAATAATCGAATGTCAGAATAATTAGAGACCGACAAACAACCAATTTGCCTTTCAACCTAAATTCGAGGTCATACTAAAATGGAGTCAGATTTTTGCAAAATGTTATTACAATATAAAATAATGGTTTCTATTTTAATACCCTTTAAATATAATTTATTTTAGTGATGCAAAGCTGAATTTCCATCAGTCCTTACTCCAGTATAAAGTGTCACATGATCCTTAAGAAATCATTCTAATATGCTGATTTATTATTAGAATAATCAATGTTGGCAACATTTGTGCTGCCAAATATTTTTTTGGAAACTGTTAGAAAATATTTCTATTTTAAATAAATGCTCTTTTTTAAAAACTTTTTATTCATCAAAGAATCCTGAAAAAAAAGTATCTGGTTCCAAAAAAATATTAAGCAGCACAAAATTCGAGGTCATACTAAAATGGAGTCAGATTTGAGTTAAACCTAAATTGAATTACTCTGCGCGCTGAAAAGACCAAACACGCAAGAAACCTTCATTGATCACTGGATACCTTCCTTGGGCCAAGTGCGTGGACCTTACAACAGGTTCCAAAAAATATTAAGCAGCACAACAGTTTTAACACTGATAATAAATCAGCATATCAGAATGATTTCTGAAGATCATGTGACACTGAAGACTGGAGTAATGATGCTTAAAAAAAATTCAGCTTTGCGTCACAGAAATAAATTAGATTTTAATGTATATTAAAATAGAAAAAAATTATTTTACGTCGTAATAATATTTCACAATATAAAAATGTTTTCCTATATTTTTGATCAAATAAATGCAGCCTTGATGAGCATAAGAATCTCCCTGAAAATTCAGCTTTGCGTCACAGGAATAAATTATATTTTAAAGTATTTGCAATAATATTTCACAAAACAACAGGGTTTTTTCTGTATTTGTGATCAAATAAATACAGCCTTGATGAGCACAAGAATCTTCAGTAAAAAGATAAAAAATTTTACTGATCCCAAACTTGTGAACGGTAGTGTATGTATATATATATATATATATATATAAAGTTAAGATATTTATTATTGTGAAATAATAAAGGAAATGAACTAGTAAATTAACACATAACATTATATATTTTATGTATTAAAAAGTTTTTATTTTTATAGGGATTTTATTTTATTTTTTCAAGAAATATTTCTTAATTTTATTATAAATAATAAAAATAAATAAACAATTAAATGAATACATATAATGCGTTATTATTATATTTGTATAGTGTAAATATATCGATACAATTATATAAAAAAATATATATTGTGTGTGTATGTATGTGTGTATAATTAAATCAATACACAAAATAATACAAATTGATAATAGTATTAATAAGTATATATTTTTATTTAACATAGATATTTTTCTATCAAAATAGAATAATACAAATATATTGTGCGTGTAATTAAATCAATACATAAAATAATGCATTTTATTTATTGATAATAATAGTATTAATAATAAGTATATATTATTATTAAACACATACAGATATTGTTCTGTAAAAATAGTGTCATACAAACAGAAGAATTAAAGAAATCAAATAAGAATTAGAGTCAATATAGAGCTATACAATAGCAGTTCAGATCATTTCTATCCATTCATGACTGCAGACCTTTTGACAAATGTATCTTGGCAAATGTGAGCAGTTTGAGACCGTGTTGAGATCTCTTCAGTAGCCATGTGAGATTACTGAGGTCTTTTTCTCAGGGGCCTCCACTGAGTCTCACTGCGGTCTAGAAGAGACACCTGAGATGTTAAAGAGATGTATTTGTGATGGTGTCTGTGTGGATCTGTGTGGTGTTCTTGAGATCAGATGCAGATCTGGGACACGGCGGGACAGGAGCGTTTCCGCACCATCACACAGAGTTACTACCGCGGCGCTCACGGTGCCATGATCGCGTACGATCTGACCCGACGGCCCACCTTTGAGTCTCTGCCGCACTGGATACAGGGTGTAGAGCAGTACGGAGCCGCCAACGTCGTCTTCGTTCTGATAGGTCAGAGCTGAGAGTCCCAGACTTTTTTGTCAGCCAGCTGAACCCCTTTGACATAAAATATTTACTTGAACTACCCCTAAGGTTTTAAAAGAAAATTCAATAATTTAAGACATTCACATGTGCACAGTTGTCTAATTTTGGTTAATGGTCACATGATATGCAGGTAAAATTATTATTATAAATATAATACAGTATTTAATGTTCTTCCAAAAAGAGTTAACATATTAATAAATTAATTAAATCCATAAATTCTATTAGTAAATTCTAAATTTATATTTCGATTACATTCAATTAAAATTTTTATAAGAGAAAAATATGTACGTAATTAAGAATATTAATTATATGTAATAAAGAATATATAATTTATTTAAAAAAATATTTTTCACCTTTTAAACTTTTTGACTTGCAATTGCATAATAATAATAATAAACATTAAACGTTTTATTGTATTTTTATAGTGTATATATATATATATATACTATATACAGTGCACAGCATAAATGAGTGCACCCCCTCTGAATAAATATAAAAGATGTATTTTCTTAATGATCACTAATATAATTAATATAATTCATGGAAAGATGGCAAAATTGATAATTCTAGTGGTGACAACAACCATGCATGTCACTTCTGCATGCTGCGTCATACGTTATCTTTTCACAACTTTTGCCGGCTCTGAGACACTTGCATGTTATTTCTCTTGCTCTTTTTCTAGCAAAAACTCACTCAGATCTTCACTTCAAGTTTTCATTTAGTGATGAGTATTTCAGGAGCCTTATCACAAGTCCATTGTTTTTGAATGTTGGTGCTACTTCTGCTATATTTTCACACTTAAAACAATAATTTGGTATTCCTCTTGTACCATTGTCCTCTTTTATGCTAAGAAATAAGTCATCTGGCAGTTCTCTCTCGAGTGGTTCCACTGCTGCCAGCATTAAGTCTTGAGTATGATTCAGTGGGCTATATAACACTTTTAATTGTCAGGAAATTACTTGTCTTTAAAAGTTTTGGTTCAGTATACTTACCTGTTGATCAAAAATATCCTTAAACCTATACACTTTCAGGAGGGTGTACTCATTTTTGCAACACAACATTTGATCACTTTGATAAGAAAATCTTATTTTGCTGAATAATTTTGTCATTCTTCTTTGGCAACTGATCAAGCAGGCTTGTTGGAACATTACATCTCCATCTTTACTCATGTCTCCTGAGTAAAGAGTAATTGCTGAATTCATGCTATTTTTTTACTTAGTTCTTGTCTAATTTTTCTTTGCAGTGTCTTTTTGAAATCTCTATCATTGGTTATTTGAATCAAATCTTTGAAAACTACTCAGGATAGATGCTTGAGGCTTTTAGCAGCAAACAAACTGGATATTCGTGATATATTTTCCGTCGTGCAGGTAATAAGTGTGACCTGGAGGCGCAGCGGCAGGTGCTGTTTGAGGACGCGTGCACTCTAGCGGAGCGGACGGGTGCGTTGGCGGCGCTCGAGACCTCTGCCAAACAGCATCACAACATCGAGGAAGCATTCGAACTGATGGCACGGGAACTCATAGTGCGACACGGAGGAATAGTGCATCAGGACAGCCAATCAGATTCACCGACTGTTTTCCTGCACTCAGACTCTCATCCAATAGATGGAGAACAACTGGAGAAGAGGTCATGTGACTGCTGACTGACCAGTTTTCTAAATTTTCATTGTTAAAAATCAGTGTCCAGGTGCAAATATTGGTGAACTAACTTTCCACTTTAGTAACGCAGGAATGTGCGAGGCTTCCGGTTTAATTCGCTTATTTTACCTGTACAAAAATTTAAATTTATAATCACAATCATAAACGTACTGTTTTGTTGCTCAAACAGCTTTACCGTTTACCACACTTTGTTATTCCTGTAGTTATTTATCCATAGCGGCTAATAAATAGGAAATCTTGCATATTGCACACTATAATCACTAAAAAGCTGTCGTTTATTTCGGTTTATCACGATCTCACAAATTTTCGTTATAATTAAGAAATCTTTCATTTACACAGTGTCTACACTTTGTTTATACGATTTGAGGATTCATTGAGAGGAACTACGCACTTAGCAAATTCAAAACTCCTGTTTTAGGCGTTGAGTGGATTCCAACGCCTGATTGGCCACTGCGTTCCAGAAATCAACATACATGTCTGTGATTGGCTAAACTGCTCAATGCTGCAAAACCACGTTGTAATTAGAAACCTTTAACGCTTTGCTGAGCGCAAACACAAATATGGTGGGCTAAATATTGTGGATGTGGTGTCCAACAAATCAGACCTCTCAGAAAATGTAAAATGCATTTAATTACTTAATTATAATTAGCAAGTATACAAGTACAATATTACGGATTACCTCTTGTGAGACATTTATTCTGCAGTAGGTTGTGTACAGTACAATAAAATGCATAAAACGTTACAAAGTCAACAAATGCATTCTTTGTTCTTTCGTAACACTTAATATATTTAAAGGATTAGATATGAATTGAGGATTTTGTGTGTTAAATTTTTAAACAAACCAAGAATAATCATGCGGCTTGTTACTGCTCACTGACAGTGTTGTCCTATCAGTCAGTTAGACAGCTAGACAGAGTTGAACTATTTTATTACGTCTGAAAATAAATTACAACATAATGCCCAAAACACCCGACTTGTGTACATAAGACAATTACAAAACAGCGCAAACAAAACGCAAGTATACGAACTGTGTGAACGGCGCTTAAGAGGTACCGTGTTATACAGCAAACCAAAGTGTTCACATTTACACAAACTAACTGAGGCGTATGTGAACTTTAATGGCAAATACATCAGAGAACACACACATTGCCACCTATTGGAGGAAAAAGAAATGAACTTCCTCTTGTCAATGGCATCGTGTTGTTTCTTCATTAACTAGTATGGCTTCATGGATGAACGTCTTTCCTTACTGCAAACGTTTAACCTTGTGCATGTGAAAATATCTCTTTCAATGCTCTGTTTGAGCTCATAACAATTTACCCATAAGCCACTTGAGGTCCCAAATGGTGCACTTGATTTCGGGCTTGTCTAGAACGTAAACGTCATTGATTCTGCGAAACTCATTCGTACGTTAACTGCTACATTTCAAATCTCACAAGAGTTTTTGCAGAAGAAGGGTCACTGCTTAGAAAAGATTGAGCATGAAGGCATGATTTGGGACAAGGTGTAACACTATTAACCGACAGGGCAAAGACTGGAAGTGTCAAAGCGAATCATCGCAACAAACACGAAGCAGGTCAACAGCAGACTGCAGTAACAGTAAAGTGGATGAAAAACACGGTATCGAAAGTTTGGCATAGTTTTAATAAAACTCCATTAGCATAAACATTTACTTTACGTAACTGCATAAAAATCAAATTAATTGAAGCCTGTTTCTGCTTTAGCGTAAAACAAGGTAATTGCGACTTTTTCTTCCAATTGCTGTTGCTTGTAATCGCAACTTCACAATGCATCTTTATTTTGTAAAAAATGTTCTGCTAATTTTTGTGTTGGCGAAATCCAGTCATTTCTGTATGAATATACATAAGGATTTTCACATGAGGTCTTAAAGAGTTCCTCTTACAGATTTTGCAACAAGGTCAAGTTGGTCACAGATTTGCTGCACTGACCAACAGAAAGCTGTTTGGTTTATAACATTTCCAACAGCACAAAAAATATATTTTCAAATATATTTCAAAACATACACATTTTTTTTTTTGCTAAAATATATATTTACTGAAATATGTTTCAGAATATATTTATGTAAATATATTTTCTACCGATATATTTTTGGCCATTTTGTATATTTTTGAAAATATATTTAAAATGTATAAATTCAATTTAAAAAGCGTTTAAAAATATTTTTTGACCTCTATATATTTCAGTCCAAGAAAATGTATTCACATGTCACATTTAAAACAAAACTTAAATTATCTATAACACGTGCGAACATAACACATTTCAATAAACTTTAGCAAGGAACAATTTTAAATGCTCCAAAAAATGCAATATATAAAAATATGAAACCTTATTAAATCATTTATAAATCTACCTTTTGATCTCTAATAGGACATTTGTATTTAGCTCAAATGTAGGCTACTGCAAGATTGGAAATGTATTTGGTATATGAAGGCTGAAACTAAATATATTTTCTATTTCAAAAATATATTTCATTGAGCTTCACTGTTTGCAACATATATTTAGCATATATTTCAATATGGGATTAAATGAGACATCACCTTAAGAAAAAGTGTAAGAAATAAGAAATGTTGTATTGTAAGATATAAAGTCGGGTGAATTGGAAGATACAAAGTTGCCTTTGTTTTACTCCAAGCAGAAATGGGCCTCAGTGAATTGTATGCTTGTGCAGTTACGTAAAAGTCTATTTTTAGCTGTTGTGAGCTGTGCTTTATACATTGCTACACTTTTGACAAATTTCGCAAATATGACCACACCTTTACAATTACATTGTTTATGTTTTACTCTGGAAAAAGGTTTTCAAATGCAAAACATGATTTAAATGAGAGGGCAAGTGACAAAAAAAAAAATTACACGCTTGAGTATTTAACTAATAAAATCCAATGCAGTTAATTAACATATATGATATTTGTAAGTAAAATCAATTCAGATGAACAGGAAAAATAAAATGGCTCAAAAATAGCTTAAAAGCACGTAAAAAATCAAAACACAACAAGCAAAAATACAAAATCCGAAGACGCCATGGACACTTCCTGTGTGGACAGGAATTATAATGGGGACTGATTTCGTTTCGACAAGTCGTGACTAGGGCTGCAAAACGATTAATCGCGATTAATCGATTCAAAATAAAAGTGTATGTTTACATACTATGTGTGTACTCTGTATATTTATTAGGTATATATAAATACACACACATAAAAGGAAAAATATGTTAGATTTATATGTAAAATATTCATATTTATATATAATATAAATTATATACAAGTGTTTACATAAAAATATTTGTAAAAAGATATAAATATTAGTGCTGTCAAACGATTAATCGCATTCAAAATAAACGTTTTTGTTTACATAATATATGTCTGTGTACATTATGTATACATAAATATACACACACATGCATGTATATATTTAAGAAAAATGCTACGTTTATATATTAAATATATTAATATATAATATAAATTATATGACTATAAATATATACATGTAAATACATGCAAATATTTTCAATATATATACACTATGTAAACTAGTGAAAAACATTATTTTGGATGCGATTAATCACGATTAATTGTTTGACAGCACTAATACATATATGTGTGTGTATACATAATAAATATACACAGTACACACACATATAGTATCTAAACAAACCTTTTTCTTCTTTTTTTCGATTAATCGTTTTGCAGCCCTAGTCGTGACGCATGGCATGTAGACGTGGTGTAATAAATGATGGTTTACTGCAGTGACCAACCCTCCAGCTGGAAGACCAACTCCACTCCATCCCGAACGTCATGCACCACGAAGGAGGGCTGCGTCAGACTGGGGTCGAAGCGGAAGTCCCGGTGACCGTGGAAGATCTGCTGCTCTGTGACCGTCTGCTCGGGGTCCGAGGGCAGGTCCTGGTGGTCACGGTTGTAGACGCCCGTGCAGACCAGGATGGAGCTGCAGCCTTCGGGCAGACGGTGATCGAACGAGCCTCCCACCATCACCCGTCCTGAACCTTTGGCATCGTCGGACACTTCACACTGCAGGCCTCCGGGCACCTGGCTGCTCGAGCCGCCCTGCGCCTGCGCACGGGTGCGATGCATCGCTTTGAGGTAGCGGTTGTACAGGTTTGCACCATAAATATCAGCCATCGGGTTGTCGCTATGAGAGAGATACACATGCATCAGACATTTTGACCGGTCACAAGTTTCAATAATTAGGTCGATTTTTTATGTTTCTGAGAAAAAGTATTTTCTGTTCACCAAGGCTGCATTTATTTGATGAAAAATACAGTAAAACAGTAATATTGTGTAAACGGTAATATTTTTTTATTTGAATATATTGTAAAATCTCATTTATTCCTGTGATGCAAAGCTGAATTTTCAGCAGCATTTCAGTGTCACATGATCCTTCATTCTAATATACTGATTTGCTGTTCTTATTATTAATATTGAAATCTGTTTTTGCTACTTAGTGTTTTTATGGAAACTGCGATACACTACCATATTATTAAGAAGGAAAATAATACTTTTATTGCGTTAAATTGATTAAAAGTGACAGTAAAGTCTTTTTTATGTTACAAAAGATTTCAATTGCAAATAAATGCTGTTCTTTTTGAACTTTCTATTCAACAAAAATTCTTAAAAAACATGTTTCTTGAGCAGCAAATCAGCATATTAGAATGATTTCTGAAGGATCGTGTGACACTGAAGACTGGAGTAATGATGCTGAGAATTCAGATATTTTCAATTGTAATAATATTTCACAATATTATTGTTTTTACCATATTTTTCACCAAATAAATGCAGCCTTGGTGAGCAGAAAATACTTTTTTCAAAAACATTAAAAAACGTAATAATTCTAAACTTCTGACCAGTAGTGTATGCTATAGATTGAGCTCAAGGTCAATGAAATTTGACCATTCAGTCTTCAAAACATCAAATCATTGACTCACCCAATGGCGTAAAGTCTCTGGACCGGTCGGGTCCAGCCCAGTTTCTCGGCCTGTTTTCTAATGAGCAGTTCGGCGTAGTTGTAAGTCACAACACTGGGCTTCCCGATCAGAGCCTCGTACTTCAGCTCACAGCCTGTTATCTTCTTATAGATGCTCTCCAGACACACAAGAAACATGCCGTGTCCAAATCTAATGACAAACAAACATCATTCCTTGTTATTTTGTCATTTAATGCTAGATTTAACCACCATTTAGCCATTAGATTTAAAAAAAAAGATCTTCCT